CCAAAGATAATTGAGCTACAAGGTGGTAATGAGTATATAGAGGGGAGAGATAGGCGTTGTGTAGGAGAGCGGCCAGATTTCGGCTAAATTATTCTTGGCAGGACAAAACTTTTGTGAGGCACCTCCGTACAGAAGCATGACTCGGGCGTGGCTAGAGCGGCGGTGCACAGGCGCTGGCATCTGACGTGCCTGTCGAGGGCGTGTCCAAGAAGGCGCCGTATGGAGTAATAATCCGAGGGCCTAACCGGAAGCACGGCGTGTGCTGTGTGCATTATACTGGATTGATGAGTAGGCCAGACACGGCGGGGGGACATAGTGCCGCAGGGGTCCCACTGTGCCTGACGTGGTATAAGTACAGGTCCGCTGGAGAGGCGGACAGCATAAAGGCGGGCGGGCCAGCGACCGCGACTGACGTGTAAGCCTCAACAAGGACGTGTCGAGCGGTGAGGATAGGATAAAGCCAAGCCAAGCAGCAGAAGGGCATGAGACGAGGGCAAGGAGAAGAAGAGAAGCAAGACAGAAGAAAAGAGAGAGGCTGGCCGTGCCACATGGCAAGCGTCGTCGTCGCGGGGCCGGCACAACCGAGGCCCAAGCGGCGGCGGCGGCGGCAGCGCAACGACAGCCATGGCACGCCCTGGTCGCAGGCCATCGCATCATCATGCTCGCCGCCCGTAATCATCGCCATTGTCACCATCCTCATCCATTGCCTCGCGCGCGTGCTCGCTCTCCTGCGCCTCGTCTGCTGGTTTGCCCTGGTTGATCTGCTCGCTCCCTTATCCGCCGCGCCCGCAATCCATGCCACGCTCCCCTCGTGTGGGGGCGCGCGCTTCACCCTCGCCATGGCAGACTCGGTCGGTGTGTTGCCTCTTGATACCCTCTTCTTCTTCTTCTGCCGCCGAGTACACCTGCTAACCAGGCCAGACCGAGTGTTCAGCCATGCCCTCAACACAGTCAACAAGATCCGCACCGGCTCGCAGAAGCCGCCCTCGGCCATCCGCCTGCGCCTGTACGGCCTGTACAAGCAGGCCATGGGTATGTGGCTGTCCACATTGTTGCGGCCAGCACTAACAACCCCCAGAGGGCGATGTAGACGGCATCATGGACTGCCCGACCGGCCGGGATGACCAGAGCCTGCGGGCGCGCGAGAAGTGGTAGGTTGGCACACGATAGCTTCATGGTGACTTCGCACACTGCAGCACCACAGTACTGACATGGCCAGGGACGCCTGGAAACAGCAAAACGGCCTCTCGCGCACAGAGGCAAAGCGCCGCTACATCACCACCCTCATCGACACCATGCACAAGTACGCCTCGCCCTCGCCCGACTCGCGCGAACTCGTGGCCGAGCTGGAATTCGTCTGGGACCAGGTCAAGTCCAACGTCCCCTCTTCGTCGTCGTCGTCGCCCCTGCGCAACTCGGACCACATCCAGTCGGGGTACTCGCAGCATGAACTGGGCGAGAGCCGCCGCGCCGCCATGGACATGAGCACCCCCATACGGCCGACCCAAGAAACCCCGATCCGCGACCACCACCAGGAAAGAGACGCCCCGCTGCGAATCAAATCCCCCATGTCGCAATCGGTAGAAGACCTCCAAGAAGGAGAAGAGGAAGAGGAAGAAGCCGAAATCGACCGCGGCGAGGTCTTTGTCGACGCCCCAGACTCCCAGTACAACCCGACATCGTACCCGGACGAGAACGACGACGCCAATCTCGAAGACGCCGGCGTGCAAACAGACCTGCAGAACCTCATGCGCGCCGAGCCCATCCCCATCCAAACGCCCACGCCCGCCCCGCGAACCCGCACCATGGCCGTCCTGGGAAAACCAATACAAATGCCCATCCCGGGCTTCGGCAGCACCCCCGCCGCCGCTACTTCGGGAGCCGCCGCCGCCAGCAAAGCCGACGTCAAGGAATCCGTGCCCGACCAGAAATGGCGCAAGCGCGTCGAGCAATCGCTCATGAAGATGACGGCCGAAGTCGCCGCCCTGCGCGAACAGCTCGAGGCGCGCCGCCTCTTTGCCCACTCGGCCCACTACCGCTTGTTCCGCGGCATCTGGCGCTGGGCCTGGGCCTGCGTCAAGCACATTGCCATCGACGTCTTTGTCCTCGGCTTCGTGCTGCTGTGGATGCGCCGAAACCAGGACAAGCGACTCGAGAGCGCCCTGCGCCAAGTCCTCGGCGACGCCCTCGCAAAAGTGTCGACGGGCCGCCGTTGGCGAATCCCGTTTCTGGGCCGAAGGAAGCTTGTTGAGTAATCAATCATTTTTCAAGGTTTTTTCGTCTTGATGTCACGAACACGAAACCAAGCTTTGTATAAACTATTTGTATGTATGTGTCATGAAAGTCCCGCTGAATATACGCCTTAGATATATCTCTCTCTCTCTATATATACCTACTCGCATTGCAGTACCATTTTCTGCTCACCACCATCGTACAACGGCATCCACGCTCCCACTCCTGTGTACGTCCATAGCGTATAATGCCAATCAATCCATCCAGCATGTCTCGTCACAAACTAAACTTTGCTATCCCCCCCTCCCAGCACGACCACAGCTCCACCCCCGCACCATGCCGCCCCTCGACAAACTTCAGCGCCCGAATACTCCTCTCCTTCTCCCACCCCCCCTTTTGCGGCCCCCGCTGCTGATGCTGATGCTGCTCCCCGGGAACTAGCATTTCCCGCACCGTCTTGCCCGTCCACATGTTGCTCACGCGAATCGCCGCGCCCGTCGACACATCCTGCGCGGCTGCTACTAAGCCCAGCTGCGCATGCACAGCCACATCCAACTCCAACTCGTCGCGGTTCGCATGCGCAAAGCTAAGTAGCGGCTGCGACCAGCTTCGCACAGCGTGGCGATTGAGTTTCCGTCGCTTCCCCGTTGCCCGGCCGCCTGGATACAGCGTCTTGAAGTAGTCGGGCGTGTAGTGCGACGTCGCATTACGTAATGACGACGAGGGCGAGAGCCGGGGTGAGCGTATATCGTACAAAAACAGGCTATCTTGCAGACCCGAGCACACGAGACGGGACTCGGCGTCTGCGCGCTTGAGCCTCGAGATGGGGTACGGATGCGTGAGCACGTGGCTTGAGCCGCCCGAGCGCGTGTCGTACAGCCGGATGGAGCCGTCGCGGCACCCGAGAGAGACGGTCGTGTACGAGAGCCAGTCGAGCGCTAGGATGTCTGACGGCAACGATTTGAGCGCTACGTGAGAGTCCCAGGCTCGGCTTTGGTCCCGCGTGAAGAGCAGCAGGGAGCTGGAGGCTGCAACGGCGAGGTGCTCGGCGTAGGTGGCTGCAATGGTGTTTGTGAGGCCGGGCGATGGCGTGAAGGTGCATGGCCGGGCGGCTGCTGCCCAGATGGCAGTGCAGTCTCTTGGTGTGAACTTTTGGCCTACGTACTACAGCGGGCGAATGGTCAGTCTGATCATCGTAGGTGGAGTCTCATCGAGTGCAGACTCGTCTATCTCAACATTGACTTACTGGCTGGTCGCGCTCGGGATCACTGAGCCACAATTCAGGAGGCCGGTCTGAGCCGTAGCTAGTCACAGCCAGCGCACCGGTAGTTGGCATGTAGGTCAGCGACGAGACTGTCGATGTCGTGCGAGTCACCTCGTCCCACGGGTAGAATGCATATGGCTTGGCGAGCCGTGTGTCGTGGTCATTGCCTGCATCGATTTCCATTGTAGCATCGTGTTCTCCCGGACGTGTGCGCTGCATGTTGACGCTGTTGGATCCCTGGACTGCATAGATGGTGCGAGACACTGGGTCTCTGTCAAAGACCCGTATCGACCCACGACATGGTTGCTTGTCAATGACGTGTCTGGGACGGACATCAATGCCCAACGCACAAGCATCTGGCCATAGGCTGTGCAGATAGAATGAGCGTCTCCTCAGCCCGATTTCCCGTTCAATGTTGGTCTGTGACAGGCTGTTTGCATTGCGCCGCACAACTCTTTCTTTCCGCACCTTGTCCGACCGCGCCGCTGCCACCTTTTGGATGCGTTCTTTGCGCTCTTCCTTTCGGATGTTGTCGAGCGAGTACTTGAGGTTGAAGCCACGTGCCGCTGCCTGGCTCTGGATCTTGAAATATTTTTTCTTCTCGGCATCCCAGTAGTAGCCGGGGATTGGCTGGCCGTTCATGCTGGGGCGTAGGGGGGGGATTCAGCAATGCAAACCTTGTAAGCTGCGGTGTGGGTAGGTTGTGGTTGCGAAGTGTGTCTTGGGACTTGGGGCCCGGAAAGGAAAGACGAGACGGCGACGCGTACGTAGCAGACGTGATGATTGGCCAAAAGCGGAAGCGGCAGTTTGTGCACGTCGGGCGGAAGGCGCGAGCTGCAAGTCAAGTCAGGGTCCAGCGGCTTCCTTATCGATAACGGCCGTGTTCCTCCTCGGCATGACGCCACAGCTTCATCGCAGCCGCATCACGTTGAAATGCGCCCTTGCACGCCGCCACCCGCCCTCGCTCTTCCATAACCTCACACTGCCCGAGAGTCTCAGCAGCCCATGCTTCGCCTCTCGTCTGCCCTGCAGCCCACACGGAAAGCCCTTTCGTCCACAAAGAGCACTACCAGAAATTTGACCCGCGCATCCGTGCGCCTGAACAAAGTCATGGCGCATTTGGACATTGCCCAGACGGCCAACGGCTCTGCCGGAGAACTTTACACGTTGCAGTCATTACCAAAGTCTAATGTCTTTACCTCGCATCTCCCGGCGGATGGCGAGTTTCCCACGCCAAAGGCTTCGCACGATGCGCCCCGCCAGATGCTCGGGCCACGCATGGTCAAGGGCGCATTGTATACCTATGTGCGCCCGGATCCCGAGGGAGAGGCAGAGTTGCTAGCCGTCAGTCAACGTGCGCTGCAAGACATTGGCTTGCAAGAGGACGAGGCCGAGACGGACGACTTCAAGGACGTTGTGTCGGGAAGGAAAATCCTAACGTGGGATGAGAAGAATCCGGAAGCGGGCATCTACCCTTGGGCGCAGTGCTACGGTGGCTATCAATTCGGGCAGTGGGCAGGCCAACTTGGCGACGGCCGTGCCATATCGCTCTTCGAGTCTACCAACCCTGCGACGGGCACGCGCTACGAGATCCAACTCAAAGGTGCTGGCCGAACACCTTACTCACGCTTTGCCGATGGGCGAGCTGTCCTCCGTTCTTCCATCCGAGAGTTTGTTGTTTCCGAATACCTGAACGCTATCCGCATTCCGACTACGAGGGCTTTGTCTTTGACGCTAAACAATGGAAGCAAGGTTATGCGCGAACGCATGGAGCCTGGTGCAATCGTGGCGCGCTTTGCGCAAAGTTGGATCCGCTTCGGAACCTTTGACCTTCAGCGCATCCGCGGAGACCGCAAGACACTGCGTATACTGGCAGACTACACTGCTGAGCACGTCTATGGCGGATGGGACAAGCTGCCATCGAAACTGCCGCCAGGCGACGCCAAAGATGTACAAGACCAAATTCACGACGGTATCGCCAAAGACACTGTTGAGGGCGAGGGAGAAACAGCAGAGAACCGCTACGTCCGTCTGTACCGCGCCATTGTCCGCCGCAACGCCGAGACAGTGGCCAAATGGCAAGCCTACGGCTTCATGAACGGCGTGCTCAACACAGACAACACGTCCATCCTCGGTCTATCCATCGACTTTGGTCCCTTTGCCTTCCTCGACACCTTCGATCCCGCATACACGCCCAACCACGACGACCACATGCTGCGCTACAGCTACCGCAACCAACCCACCATCATCTGGTGGAACCTCGTGCGTCTGGGCGAAGCCCTCGGCGAACTCATGGGAGCATCCACCAACGTCGACGACACCGTCTTTGTCGAAAAAGGCGTCACAGAAGAGCAAGCCGACGCGCTCGTCAAATGCGCAGAATCCGCCATCGACCGCGCAGGCGAAGAATACAAGGCCGTTTTCCTCGCCGAGTACAAGCGTCTCATGACTGCGCGCCTGGGCCTCAAAACGCAAAAACAATCAGACTTTGACGCCCTCATGTCGGAATTGCTGGATTGCCTCGAGGCATTCGAGCTCGACTTTCACCACGCGTTTAGGAGACTGGGTGGTATCAAGTTGGCCGAAGTCGAGACCGAGGACCAGAGGAAAGATGTTGCGGGCCGCTTTTTCCGCGCCGATAATGTGCCGAGGCAGGAGAGCGAGAGTAGAGCGCGCATTGCAAAGTGGCTTGGGGTCTGGGCTGCGCGTGTGAAGGAAGACTGGGGTGAGGGCGGTGATGCAGAGAGAAAAGAGGCAATGGATGGTGTGAATCCAAAGGTGCGTTCTCTTTCATACCTCCCCTTTGTGTCATGACAATGGAAAAAAAAAGAAAGGGAGAAGTACTAACGACATCAATAGTTTGTGCCTCGCTCGTGGATCCTAGACGAACTCATCGAGCGCGTCGAGAGGAAAAAGGAACGCCATATCCTGCCTCAACTCATGAAGTTGACGCTGAACCCGTTCCAGGAAGACTGGGCGTGGAATGCAGACGAGGAAGAGAGATTCTGCGGCGACGTACCCAAATACAAGGGCATGATGCAATGTAGTTGCAGTTCCTAGATGCATATCCCCCTTTTCCATCACCCAGCGCCAAGTCATTGTATATGTAGCGATTTTGTAAAAAATGGTTATGATTTACAACATGTATTAATCCACGCCACCAACAAGATACTCGCCTACTTCGACATTCACCGAGCGCCCCAGCGCACGCGCATATTCCCATCCGAAACTGACTCTCCAGCGACCACCCCCTTCAAGCGCATCGTTGCTGCCGGCGCCCCCTGCGCGAACAAGCAAGCGCATGCTCGTTAGCGTCGCGACCTGTGTGTACAAGTCTGCTACCTGGGGCACTGTGCCGTCAAGCAGAGCGCGGAAAATGGCGAGGAGACGGTCCAGAGTAAAGGGGCTGGGGGTAAGAAGGTGACGGCTGATTTTGCGGTGCTTGGAGCCAGAGCGTTTTCCCGTCACGCTGAAGGATGCGGCAGTCGGGGCGCGCCGCTTGTTCTTGCGCTTGTCCGTGTGCTTCATAAAGTATGTCACGTCTGTGCGCGAGGGGTTGTACGAGGCGAGGTAGGCGGCGATTAGCATGTGCGTCGTGTAGTATGGGAGCGTGTGCGCAGTCATGTTAGCAGGTTTCTTTTTGCTGGGGGTGGCTGGCGGCATTGCTGAGGCGGTGGTGTCCTTGCTTGAGAGGTCTTCGGTGGATGAGATGATGCGATCGAGGACTGAGTCTTCGAGCTGGAACAGATGGCGGCGGTTCACCATCAAGCGGGAGAAATCACGCGTGCCGAACTGTCCTGCTAGCACGGGCTCTACAAAGGGACGCCATAGTCGCATTGCGCAGCTCTTGAAGCTGACGACGTCTCTGCCAGTGTGTTTTGCGAGCGAGTCGTACACGGCCTGCAGGAAGCGGCCCCAGAGCCACTCATCGTCTTCGGCCGCGACATCAGGCGTATAGTCGGGAAACTTTTCCAGCGAAGGCGGTTCGGGGAAGATTTTGGGTGGGTGGGCACCGAGAATGGCCAGGAGTTCGGCGCGCGTGTACGACGGGAAGTGGAGGAACGAGGTCGACGACGAGTGGAGGACAGAGGGCGTAAGTGGCAGCGTGGTGGTCACGATGATGGAGAGATTGGGTATCTTGGAGAACGTCAGCGCCGCGTCTTTCGCCTGGTACATATAGAAACATGCCGTTTCCCCTAATCTTCCCAGCGCTGCGATCAATGTTCCTCCCCCCTCGCGCAGTTTGTCCATGGCATCGAGCACCAGAGTGAACTTGGCCCTTCCCTCCAGCAGCCTCGCCATGTTCACGCACAGTGCGCTCAAATTTTCCGTTCGCGCAAAAGGCCTCCGGTCTGTCTTCTCGTCATGGAATTCGTCAATCGCATCCACACTGGATGCGACAATGCGCTCGACGAGGTGGCGCGTCGTGATGCATTCGCGGACGTTGACAATGGCATGACATGCGCGCGACAAGTGAAAGTAAGAGCGCAGGATGGCCGATTTGCCCGTCGCTGTCAGGCCGTGGATGTTGAGAAAGGGCGGAGAAGGGAGATGCGCCTGTGTTTGATCAATACGGCGCGGGCACGAGGCGAGTGGTGTTTTCGTACGCTGTACAGAGCCGCTAGGTGCTGGATCTGCTGGTGGCGACACTGAAATTCCGCATCGAGCTGCGCGATGATTTCGTCGGGCAACATTATCGCGATATGTAGGTGTTGGTGTTGAGCCTTCAGGTCGATTGGCATGGGGAAGGTGCAATGGTCGGTCGCGCTAACTAAGTACTTAGATAGACGCCAAACGCGACTGCACGTGCACAGCCATTCCCTACTTACAACACCAAGACAAGACCTCACATCCCTTCACCAACACCCGCCATTGTTCATCTGCACACACTCATATCCAGGGGTTTGCACAGATGCTGCATCCAAGTACGAGTTCACAATGTCGCCAGCCTATGCACACCACCACACTGCATGTGCATGCGGGGCACAGCCTCACTCCCAGCTGCAGCCTTGGGCAGACGTCTCATGCAACACATCCTTCTCTCCTAATGCAACATCCGCCACACTTCCTTCTGTCCAAATATCATGGACACAACCGCGAGCCTCATTGCGATTGTGACCCTTTGTGAGCAAGTCATCAAGTACATCAACGCCGCAGCCGGAGCCAAGGACGACAGACAACGCCTTCGCACCCAGATACGGACATGCAGTCACTTCATCCTCCAGCTTAAAGATGAAGCAGAAGACTCTGAGCAGGGCCAAGAATGGGCAAAGTCAATGCAGTTGCTGTCCAGCCCACTCGATCGCCTTCACACAGCTCTGAGTTTGGCGGCTCAAAGTCTTTCGTCCAGAGATAGCACAGTGGAGAAACTCAAATGGCCTTTCAAGGAGAAGGATGTGCGGAAACTCATTGAAGCAGTCGAGTGCGAAATGAACTTATTGTCCTTGGCCCTCGACAGAAACTTCACACGGCTGCTTCACGAGATCAATCTTCAATCCAAGCACAATGAGCAACTTTTGGTGAAATTAAAGAACGCGTTGTCTTGCCGAGATATCGATCAGCAGCGCGAAATTAGAAAGATAGAACAAGGAATTCAGAGAGTTCAGATAGGTCAGAGTGACGTCCAAGAACAAGTCCATCAGCTGCACGAGCGTCACGACTCAGACAAAGCCTCAGAGAAGCGCCGGTCCATCCTTACCTGGCTAACGCCCATCGACTATGCCTCACAGCAACGAGATGCCATCCGCCGACGACAGCCTGGAACGGGTCAATGGTTCATAAACTCGCGAGAGTACCAAGACTGGATCGGTGGGAGAAATCGCACTCTGTTCTGTCCAGGAATTCCTGGCGCAGGAAAGACTGTTCTTGCTTCAATCATCAACGCTGATTTATGGGAGCGATACCATGCTGATTCGACCGTTGGCCTTGCGCACCTTTTCTTCGACTACCGCCGTCAGGATCAGCAATCATTAGAAACTCTCCTCTCGGGTCTCTTGAAACAGCTTGTTAGACAACAGCCATCTCTGCCTAGACAAGTTGAGGGGTTCTATCAACAACTGCAACAAGGAGCTTCAGATCGGGCCAAGGCAACTGTGAAGGCTTTGGAAGCTGTTATAGCAGACTTTTCGAGAGTCTTTATCGTACTAGACGCGGTCGATGAGTGTCTTACCCCTGGTGAAAGTCGCACAGGGCTGCTGTGTACGGTTCAAGAGTTGCAAGAAAAGTGTGGGCTAAACCTCCTCGCTACATCACGAGACATCCCCGACATCACCGAGCGATTCAGGACATCTTCTGTTCTGGAAATCCGAGCGGATGAAGAGGACGTGAGAAAGTACCTTAATGGGCAGGCGCAACGCCTCCCAAGTTTTGTCCGGAGGAATGCAGTGTTCCAGAAAGAAGTCGTCTCCAGCATCGTTGACGTGGTGCAGGGAATGTATGTTGCCTGAGACGCAGGTCGGAAATATCACTAACAATATAGGTTCCTTCTTGCTAAGCTTCATCTTGACTCGCTAGAGGGAAAGCGATCCCCAAAAGCACTACGCGTCTCTCTGAGCAACCTGGTAACCGGTTCTCAAGCCTATGATGCTGCCTATGAGGCTGCCATGCTAAGGATTAATGCACAGCCGGGCGACCTCCAAGATCTAGCAATGGAAACGCTTACCTTTCTCATTGGTACTGACCACCGCTTTTCGAAGGTAGAGTTGCAAACAGTTCTCGGAGCTGAGTTTGGCGAGTCCGACATCGATCCAGACAATTTTCCAGACATGCATGATGTCGTAACGGCATGTGTTGGACTGGTCATAATGGACGATGAAAGCGGGATTGTTCGACTGGCCCACTACACAACCCAAGAATACCTCAAGCGAACGCAGCAACGTTGGTTTCCCAATGCAGAAGTCACTATCACAGATACCTGTCTCTCCTGTCTTTTTTCGAAAAAGGATTGGAGCGGTATTCTGTCGAGTCCCGAGGCGCATGATGACTGGCACCGTTATAGCGCGATCAACTGGGGACGCCATGCTCTCCAGGCTTCTTCTATCCATGAACGAGTCGTGAAACTTCTCCAGCAACCAAAATTTGTCAGGATTAGTTCAGATTTTCTGCGCCCCAAATCGTTCTCATTCCGCCTATTCCATGTATCGAGTCAGGAGATTATCATACACTGCTTCACGGCATACATTTGGCGGCATATTTTGGGCTTGAAGCTGCTGTTCTCGCACTACTAGAACAGAAGCCGAAGCAGTCTTCAGGGCTGGTCAAAGGAGATCCAAGACTAACGATTGCACTCATGGTCGCAGCTGAAAGGGGTTATGAAGCGGTCGCCAGACATCTCCTCCTTCACGGTGCCATGTCCCACTTTCCGGCTGGTGCATCGCCGGTTTTCACGCAATCCAGCGCTGTTCATCTCGCTGTGGAATATGGCCATGATCGTATCCTCAAGGTTTTGCTCGCTGCGGGGTGCCCTGTCGACTGGCGCAGTTGTAGCAGCCACACTGCTTTGCACATTGCAGTCAGGGACCAACAAATCCTGTGCTTGAAGGTACTGCTCGAGGCCCACGCTGATGTGGATGTGCAGGACCGTTACCAAATGGCGCCATTACACACGGCAGCACGGATGACTGACTCCACAGCTTTGACGATATTGCTGGAACATGGTGCCACTGTAAACATGGTCGGCGATAAACGCCGGACTGCTTTGCATATTGCAACCGCTCACCAAATTGCTCCGTCTGTAAGGGTATTGCTTGAACACAAAGCCGATGTGAATACGACGGATCAGGACCATAAATCACCACTCCACATAGCGGCAGAAGAAAATGACATGACAATCCTTAGGCTACTGCTTGAACACAAAGCCGATGTGAATATGCTGGATCGGGATCATACATCGCCACTACACAAAGCGGCACGACATACTGATCCGACGATGCTCAAGATGTTGCTTCGCTACGGTTCTCTACCCAATCTGCGCGACTGTAACGGCCGTGTGGCTTTACATTATGCAGTTTGTCGCCGGAATATCCAGGCAGTAAGGATCCTACTGGAGCATAAAGCGGATGTAAATGTTACCGACTATAAACAAGAGGCACCATTGCATTTCGCAGCAGGCATGCAAGAGCCAGAACTTGTCAAGGTCCTTCTGGATTCCGGTGCAGATGTCGAACTCCTCGACTTCGGTGGCGACACCGCGTTGATGAGGGCTTGTTTAATGCTTGAAACCCCCCCAAGTCAATGTCAAGCTCCTACTCGCAGCTGGAGCCAGCATCTGCACACTAAATCATAACGGCCATTCCGCACTCGTCTCAGCTATGTTGTGTGGTCCCAACCCAGCCACGCTGCGTTTCTTGCTCAAACATGGCGCGGGTCCCAATTTAGGTCGCTCGCTATTATCGTATGCCGAACTCAGACGCGACAGGCTTATGAACAAGTATGGGGAATGTAACCAAGACCCCGATGTATGTGCCTGGAAGCAGAATTGAGAAAAGTGCATCCGGATACTTGAAGAGGCGGGTGCTAGTCCTCAGGCTTGGGATACCAGGCCGATCAGTATTCAACTCGTCTTACTTATCAATCCTTTGTCTCCATATCCCGTAGCCAGATTCTATAATATACACACAAACTCTCTCTCTCTCTCTCTCTCTCTCTCTCTCTCTCTCTCTCTCTCTCTTTCTCTCCTTTTTACATCCTGCGTTTTTCTACTTTTCATTCAAGCAAGATACCGGCCTCAGGAAAGAAAGGTATTACATCGCGTACTACAAATTGTATTCTTTTCTTTTCATTGCAAAAAATTCAATCACTTTGCTTCATATCAATTCCAACACTATCTAACAGATACAAAGATTCATCAATACATACCTCTTACACTTTGATCCGCACTTAATAACCAACGCAAGAAGTAGGGGGAGCGATAAGCAGGCTGGAGTACACGCCTCACCAAGGAAGCAGAAGCTATCATGCATTGATTGCAGAACTGAATATTCAAGACGGATCAAGATATCATTCTTCAACCTACGGTGCCACTTCCACCATATCCTACACTTTCACTCTCTCCTTCTCATTCAAATTCTCCCTCTCCAGACTCGCTTCCACCCTCTCAGTCATCAAATGCGTGACGCCTCTCATTGCCACCACAGCCGCCGTCGCCAGCGCCACAAAAGGAACGACGCTCCAGAATCCCAGGCGATAGGCACGTGCATACGACCAATGACTTGCATTCCACGCGGCCTTTACAATTCTCGCATTAGCACCGGGCACAGCATCGCTTCTGAACGTCCCTTCCGACTTCCCTTTCATAGCATTCAGTAGCGCAGGAATCGACGACGCAGGCAAGCCCGCTTGCGTCGCCGCGGCGCTAACATCATGGCTAAGATGCGAAGCAATGTGTGAATTCACAATCGCATATATAACTGCCGTTCCGAATGCGCCACCGATTGCTCGCGCAGAGAATGCAAGGCCAGTGGCTGTAGAGAGGAACGCGTGCGGCGCTGTGAATTGGATGCATGCGACTAGTAGCGTTAGAGGACCTGCACAGCCGACTCCGGTCAAGGCTGTAAAGACGATTTGTGGGGTGCCCCAGGAGGGTCTGATAAAGGCGAAGCAGATGGATGCTATGAACATTATTGCGAAGGTGACTGCGAGCGGTGTTTCTGCATGCTGGTTAGTCGTATCCATAGCGAAATAGAGAGAGAAGACTGAACGTACTCAAGTCTTTGAAGCGCGTAGCCCACCATGTTACTGCTATCGAAGTAATTATCGAGGCTATTTTGTATGATAATTGGCGGATGGCTATGGCCCAGGCGTTGTCTTCAAATCCGATGTTGAGAATGAGCTGGGGTGTCACAGCGTTAATGGCCGAGTAGTAGATCCAGCCTTCGATGGTGAAGGCAAAGGTGGAAAGCCAGAAGTTGGGGCCCGTGGAAAAGAAGACATGGGCGACGATGCCGTCGCTTCTTCCTTTCCATTCTGGGATTGGTCAGCCGTGGTGGGGATGGGGTATGGAGGGAAAACCGTACCGTAGAGACAGAATGCGAGGAATAGAACGATTCCGACTGTTAGGTTGACGCAGACGTGTGGATTGCTCCATGGGTATGCGCCGCCGGCCCAGTTCAGCGCAAGGAGCAGCAGAGTGGCGGCGGAAACTAGTAGAAAGGAGCCAATTGGGTCGCAGGCCCATGCCCATTGTTCGAAGCTCATGCGAGGGTAGTCGGTGCGTTTCTTAGGCCAGTAGAATGCGAACAGCCCAAGTGATGTGATGCCGTGGAGAGCGACTTGGATCCAGAAAATGTATCGCCAGCCAGACGCGCTGAGGTTGGTGACGGCACCAGCTGCCAAACTGCCTACACTGTTCACGTTGGCATTGTTGGAGCGGAGAGGTGGATTCAATAACTTACGTGCCGCCCATTACGCCAGCCACTCCAGCGAGTCCATTCGCCAAAGGCCGATATTTCAAGGGAAGGATCTCAGAAGGAATCGACTGGACAATGGAGATTGTTGCGAGCGTGATGCCGATGAGGATGCCGCCGCCAATCAGCATGGACATGCTACTAGCTTTGGCACAGATGATGGCACCAACACATGCTATCAGGGGCGGTATGGAGGCGAATAGCTTGCGGTCCAGGACGTCGGAGAGACGGCCAACGGGAGGCGAAAGGACGGACTGCATGAGAAGAGGGCCCTTTTGTGGGTTAATCATGACATGTTCAATTTAGCATGGCATGATTCGCACCTGGATAATCCAGCTAGCAATGGCTGGCTCTCCCAGCTCGCGAATGATAAAGGACAGGACTGATCCTGCGGCCACGACAACAAAGACCTGAGACATGACGCTGGATCGTGTGAGATGTAGCCGAGAAACGGGTGTGGGAGCGCATACGCAAAGCAACAACAGAACACGACGATCCATGATCTCCACGAGAGGTCGACATGCTGAACGTTCTCGCTGGCTTCTTGGTCGATGGGTACAATGTGTGGGCTGTGGTCGTGGGCGGCCTCGATATGAGCAACTCCCGACTTGCTATCCATAGCTTCGTTGTCCGGCCGCGAACAATAACAACACAAGGGGATACGTGGGAAGGCAGACGATGCCCCAGAACTGACGGCACATACCCATATGCCATGGTGGGGTAAAATGCTCTCCACGCCTGGCTCGGGCAGCCTGACCGGATGATGAGTGGTGCAGACGTTTTGCCCAAAGCCTTGCATATCGGCAAACGGACATGGCTGGTGTCATGACGCTATGGGCTATCATTCGCCGCGGGCTGGGCACAGAGGCATGCGGGACTCCATATGCAGTCAAGATTGGCACTGTGTGGTTCATGGCGGTGCGGGGAGTGAATCCTACTGTGCGGGGGGTATATGCATATGTGCCATGCTATTGCATGGTATCGGCAACTCTTGGCACGGCCTGGCATTCCATCTCTTGAGGTTGTGTCGAGTAGACGCCATGTTTCCAGATGTAGGGCTTGTAGGGCTCGTTCTTGCTTGTGGTGGTGGGGAGTGAGGGTGAGGGCGAGGGCGAACTGGCGGGGAGAAGTGAAGAGGAAGGGGCCAAGGCCGGCCCAGGCAGCGCCGCCCCGCTGGACCCTGACTGACGCCAACCGTTTGCTTGTTTTTGCCCCCCCTCGATGTATTTGTTTTCTCTACCACATCCATCCAGCCAGCCAGCCTCTCCGTGGAAGAAAAACCTCGCCGCCAACCTCTCGCCCATTGCAGCCACCGGACATCATCGACCCGCTGGACTCTTAGCTGTCTAACGCTTTTGCGCAGTCCCGTCACCCAGGCGATGCTATGAGCACCCCACGCCCACTGGCAGGCCGCCTGGTGCCGCTCCGCACAAAGGACGAAGTGCGCGCCAGCCTCGAAATCACCGACGTCTTCGTGGTCGAGGTGCCGGCCAAACACGCCAATGTTATCAAGGAGTGAGGCTTCACTCCCGGTGCCGCTCTGCGAGGGCTCGCGTACTAACGGGTCAGTGCCGTGCAAGCAGCGTTGCCCAGCTTCAGGACGTCCGAGATCTCGCACTTGCGCCGCGTCGTGCAGTTCAAGTTTCTGCCGCCGCATCTGCAGAAGCAGTTCTATCCGCCTATGAGGCTCCCGAGAGGTGACGATGATAATCCTGCATCCAGAATATTATTATCTTCCGCTTCTGCATCGGTCCCCACTGCTCCCCTTTGTGCTCCCCCATCACCCGTCGCTTCAGGCAGCGACATGGCTGCGGAAGAGGCTCTGGCTGAACATTTTGATCTAGTGCGATATTTTCTGCTGTGCCCCACGCACTACATGTCGCGTGCCGACTTGGTGGGTGTCATACGCACATGTCCGCCCTTCGAAGGCAAGGCAGCGCTCCCGCGCATCTTCAACGTGACAGTGCCGGCCCTGGCGCCCATCTCTGGCGAACAGGCGACGGAATGGAGCGACCGCTACTGGCCCATCTCGTACAAGAACACCAATCCCTACGGTCCGCATCCCAGCCTTGTTCAGCGCAACCAGGACGAGATCCAGGCCGAGGCCGGCAACTGGCTTGCCCTGGCGAAAAGCGCCGGCCAGCAGATTTCGGAGGCCTGCCTGGGTGAAAGCATTGGCGTTGTCGTTGTCGACTGTACTACGGGTAAGCCCGAGGTCATTGCCGTTGCAGGCGACTGCCGCTGGCGATCGGCCAGTGGCACCCCGGAGCCCCAGACGGGCACGGGCAATGTCATGGCTCACGCAGTCCCTCGCGTCATCGCCATGGTTGCAAAGAAGCGACTCCGCGTTGCCGGTACCGACCCCACGTATCTCGACCGCCCTCTCTTCTGCGATAACCCCCTCACTCCAATCGAGCAGAGCTACTTTGACAAGGACAACATCTCTTCCAGCGGCTATCTCTGTGTGGACCTTGACATCTACCTCACCAACGAGCCTTGCGTCATGTGCTCCATGGCCATTCTGCACTCGAGGTTCCGCCGGTGCATCTTCGCCAAGCGCATGCCACACACTGGAGGTATGACATCGGATGGCCCCGACCATGTCATGTCAACCGCCGGAGGACTGAGGAACGGCCTGTTCTGGCGCCCCAACGAGCTCAACTGGAAGTTTCTGGCCTGGGAATTCAAGGAGGACAACAAGGCAGCCGATGGCGCGACTGGTCTCAAGAATACCCTGCACGCTTAGGATGGGGCATCTGCATTAAATTTCATTGGATAAGCAGCACTGACACGGCGTATTGTATTATCTCGTTTGAGCACGCTGGGACGACACGTGAGTATGGATTAGACAAAACAGGTATTATGGAAGCATTCAGCGAGTGTGCTTAGTCGGGGGCTCGGTTCAAAGTCAGTTCAGTTCAGAATATATCAAGGCATTCGTCAGGTGGGCATGTAGAGGCTTGACTAAGTTGTGCATGGTGACTTGACCATTTCCAGACTAGTCGATTGTAAGCCCAAGTACTGACTCAAATCTCAACCGCCGATACCCAAAGCCTCAAGTTACAGCATCATCCGTCCAATCATATTGCTCCAGCCATGACCAGCACCATGTATCTCCGTCGTGCACAGCCCTCGGATGAGCCCGCCATCGCCTCAATCTTCACACGCGCCTTTTTGGACGAAGATCTTTTTGGCCGTGTAATGCACCCCCACCGAAAGCAGTACCCCAACGACATGCAACTCTTCTGGCACGAATGGCTCCGCCATGACTGGCAAAGTCCACGCAGCAGAGTCCTCGTCGTCTGGCGCCGGCCATCTGAAGCTTCTACCGAAGAACAAATCCTCGGCGCAGCCCTCTGGCAGCGCCAAGGCGACGATGCCGGCGCCCAAAAAGTCATGCAAGAAAGCCCACCACCACCTGACGCCGCCTCATTTCCCCCGCTTCAAATCACCCAAAACCGCGCTGCAGACCCCTCGAAAAAGAACATCATGGAAGCCGCCGCCCCCTTTACCAAACACCACTGGACGGGATCCCGCGCAAACAACTGGTACCTTTCTCTCTGCGGCGTCGACCCGGATTTCGCGGGCCACAGCATAGGCAAAATGCTAGTGGCATGGGGCCTGGATCAAGCGAGGCAAGAAGGCATCGCGGCGAGCGTGCTGACGAGCCCAGGGACGAATGCCTTTTATCTCAAGTGCGGCTTCGACGACATTGTCGGGAATGCGTGTGAGGGCGAGGGGAATCCGCTTGCCGAGGCGGGTGTGCAGGGAGGCGATGTACTGTTCATGTGGGGGAAGGAGGGAAGGACTGAATAGTTTTGTGTAAAGGGAACTATGTGGGGGTTCATGTGGACATGGTTTCAGTATCGTCTTGATGTGACTGTTGTCTCGATGTGAGGGGATGTATATATGTGGCTCCTAGAAAGGTGTGAGTGTTACTCTGGTAGTCGTAAGCGTCTCGGCTTGTAAATTGCCATGTACGTACCCGCAGATTCGCGTTTGACTATCTACTCGACGTCTTTCGTGATAACCAGCTGAAATATGTCTGTCGAGCAAATTAGACCAGACGGCTGTCATGGTTTTGTCGGCGGTCCTGCATGCCATGTTCAGAAGCATCTAGCCAGGACTTATCCCCTATTTTACGTGAACTAAGAGACGCAAATACCACGCAGGGGAATAAGCAACCAAGGACGGGAATCCTTCTTTCAAATGCAAACAGTTCTGTCGATCATCAAAAAAGGGGCGGCTTATTTCTGTTCTAGATCTTACATGCACAACTGCGACAAGAGGTAGAGTATAGAATTTACGAATGATGATATATATTGAGATTAAATGACAGACTCTTGCCAAACACATCCTTCAGCTTACATAGCATCTATCACTTTCTTAGTTTCCTCCTGCCCCTCCTCTCCTCCTCCTCCAACCTCCTCATGCCAAATCCCTGAGTCCCCTGAAGCGCATGCAACGTCGCCATCTGGTGCAACAAGTCTTCTTCACGCGGTGACGCAGGCTTCCGCGATATGTTCATCTGTGCCAACAGCTGCTGGGATGCAGATGCGGGAAACGGGGCATGCGTCGTACGTATGATGCGCGAGCCCGATGAAGATCTACCCGGGAAAGGCGGTGTGGGTATGACATCTGGGTCTGGTTCTATGGATAGAGATGCTGCGGGTGAGTATTCGACGGGAGGGGCAGAAGGGGGACAGGAAGTTTTGGGATGGTGTGAAGATGATGGGGGTGCAGGTTTGGATGTTACCTTGATGATTCTGAGGGGTTGAGGCTTGTAAAGATGGTTATGTGTGGGCATAGCCGACATCTTGGGGTTGTCTTTAGCGATTTTGTCTTCTTGTTTTTCCACGTTTTGGTCTGCTGATGGACCGTATATCTTGAGCCTTGCTTTTGCTATCCACATATCGAGCGAGTCTTGTTCCGTCATGACTGGTATGTATTTTTCGATATTCAAGCGAAACGCGTGCTGATGGATTTGCGATAGCAAGGTGTTGCGCGGCTTTTATGTTCGCCGTGAGATGCCAAGCCAGTGGCGTCTGAGACAGGGTGGAAATGCTGATGATAGAGGCAGTGGTGAAGCCGTTAGTGGTTTCTTTAAATACCATGTGGGGGATTTTTGATTGATAGATCAATATGGTTGGAGCATTGTAGAAATTTGGCTGACATTGTTAAAGGAGATGCGCGTGATGTGAACCAACTATTAGATTCCAATAGTACATCTTCTGACTGAAATTTTCTGACGTCTGGCCGACGCTGGTCCATAGCCATTGATGTGTGTTCCATTTGGTCGGGCAATATTCAGTAATATGAATCAATTCGATATCTTGACCGACATCTGGCCTTCTCCTTTCTTTCGCTGCCGTTCGGTTACTTTATTTGTTCATTCCGCCAGCCACACATTGTCTCACCGTAGAGAACATCATAAGATCCTTACGTAACAGCCTTTTCCCATCATTTAAGCAGTACCTGCAACTTCCCATTCCCATATCTCTTGTGATTCTCCTTGTCAAATCCCTCATTATTGCACTCTTATCTTCATTTCCTCTCCTCTTCAAAATGCCCACAGCCTTATACTGTGTTTCAAAAATGGCATCTAGATTGAGTTCCCTCGACATGCCATTCCCAAATTTCAATAAATAATACTCCTGACACGCTTGAATCAGGAACCTGCACAGAATGAAGCACCCACTAGCACAATACTAATTTAAGTCTGAAACAATATTGCAGAGGAATATTTCGCCGAAGATGTGCGCCTGCAGTAAATCGACTGTCTATCGATTGTAGGTGACTTTCTTAAGACTTACTGGTGTTGACAAACCCTGGGGGCATTTCATGTACTAACAGAAACCTGGTAGGACGGTTAACATGGGCATAATCAGTTCCAGTGTAGATGGCGCATAATGCTGGTATAGGAAGCTTGTTTTGAAAAAAGGGTGAGTAGAGAACTGCAGAAGAGACTTGCCTATCTACTCTTGGAGTGCATAGATAAAATATCCATTCTATTGTTGTAACCACTGTGTAGGGACCTCAGACAGCAATAAACCAACTGCGAACTGCGCTATTGATAATATTCTGTGAGCATCGCTTGATGTGCTGACATTGAGGGCGTGTCATATCTTGGTAATTTCAAGAACTGTTATGGTACTCGCCAACTTGGATGATCGCCTTGTAATTCTCGATTGATGTATGTGTTCAGTGATATCAGCATGTGAGGCTAGTAAGACAGCGAGAGTCACTGGCTATATACAGGCAATTTATGAGTGAAACCAAGCCCATCATGTGAACAAGGTGAGTGAGGTCGCATAGTCACTGTATAAGCAGAGAGAAAGACGTGCAGATATCTTCAATCATGAGCTTGGCAGTTCCTAAGATCTCTCTATATCTCAATCCGACATGCTATGTATCACACATCCACGCGATATATAAGGAAATTCACCCAATTTATTCGGTGAAGCAACTACTAAAATCAACCAACTTTTCTTGAATTTTCGTTTTTTTGTCGCGACTTCAATACCATATCACCTTGCCCAATGCCGCGTACTAACACTTTAGAATATCGCTGTACCATTCACGTGAGAGCTCACTCCGCCTATGTGAAAGTCAATTAAATAGAATGGTTCGCGATAGCAAAATACTTACCAGGGCAATTGGCGGGCGCAGAAGAGAAGAAAAAGAACCACCTCCCCCTCTCGCGACACGTCTGGGCAAGCTTCTCAAGATCCAGCATTTCGCCGAGTGGCATTCCCCAGAGAGCAAGAATATACTCGTGGAGATGATAGTCTAGCGCTTTTAGCTTGCACACTCCAATTAAATCCAATTCAGACATACCTTCGTGTGTTGGCCAAGCCTCAAATGCTGGAGCATCGCCTGCTACAGTCGCAAAATAGCAGTCGTGAAGCCAATCTAGAATCTTTTCTTCTTGACTGAGACCGGCGTATCGCAGTCCGTCTTCTCCATTTTTACCGGAGCCATGGCGGAGTGCAGCTTTGGCCCTGTCTTCATCGCTCTTGCTGTCGTAGGCTTCCTTCCATCCGCTACGGACAAAAAGCATGTCTCCAGGCTTGATGTCGCCTCCCTGAGCAACCGGCCGAATGTCTACTCCTTGTTCCTTGCCGCACTGGTATAGCTCCTCCCAGGAAATGGGATAGTAGTCAAACGGGTCATAGTTGATGCCTTTCTTGTGCGCATAGCCCCTGTAGTCTAGAAGAATACCCCGTCCGGCAATGCCGTGTTCAGCCCAGTAGTGGATTGAGCACTTGTGGTTTGCATCTGGCCCTGTAATGTCACTGCCTTTCGTCTAAGTTAATTAGTAGACGCCAATGCAAGTCACCCATGTACATACGCCGTTGTAAAAAGAGCCAGTCAGCATATGCGCGAAATGCCGAAAGCCATCCCATTGAGTGCCGCTTTGAGTATTCATATGATACAAGTCATCGTAGGCGTATCCTTCGGCTAAAGTCTTGATCTCGTGTTGGAAGACTTCACGGCCGAACGCGGGTACGCTAGGTACGTTGAGAGGTAAGCTGTTCGCGTCAGCGCGGAACCACTAGATTCTTCTAGGCGCTTTCTACTTGACGGGCACAATTTCTCCAGTCTTGATCTCTTTGGTAGCCGCAGCCACCCGGGCCGGTGTCAGGAGGTTCAGACGCCCAATCTTCCACCAGTCAGCGTGATCTCAATCTACAGATTGCGCTGTTACTATACGTGATCGTTCTCGCCCCAGACCCAAGCAGCCTCTTTGGGGGCTCCCGGAATCTCCGGGAGCTCTTTTCGTGTGGGGAATATGGTATTATTGGGGTCCCATGGTACTTTTGATGCCGTTTTATTCATGGTTAGAAAATCCTTTATCTGAACCAAGCGCTGACTAGCGGTGTTTTTGAGGTCGGCCATGCTGGCAGTGTTGCAACAAAGGCTATGTTCTCTACCGAGGTCGTTTTATATACTCTTGGTAAGTATGAGGGGTACTTAGGCTACTAAAAATCCCCACTTTGACGTACAATAAATGCATTACGTCAAAATTTCACAACACTATAGCCCAATGCGCGCCTATGTTAAAATCTAAGAAAGATAAAATATAAAAATTGTGTTGAAAATAATAAACGCTGGGGGGGACTTGGCGCTTGAAGTAAGACGATGTGTAAGGTTTTTTTACTGCATAAGCGCTAATTAGAAAGAGAGTGCATCCGAACCTTATACACTCTTAGATTTCGTATTTTAGTACTATTCCAAGCCTTATTTTTGAACAAAGTGTGATACTGATGAATGAAAGCGTAACACGCAGCGCAACCGAACAGACCCTTAATATAGCCTAAGTCTCATCTGACGTGATCTTGGCGGCGGAGACACCAACGACAACCTTGAAAGGAATAAGTTCACCCACACAAAGTCTTATTTGAATAATATGGTAGAGAATTCTATGATACCATCTTTAGGATAACGATGAGAACGACTGACTACCCTACGCTGCATGGTGATTCAGTCAATAAGCTGCTATCTTTTTAGGTTGTCATTAGCTTGCCCACCGAGGCTACTTGTGTTAGATGAGACTGCATCTTTGAGAGCTAAACGTTGTGCATATCATGTAGATGGGAAGCCAATTTTGCAGGCAAGTGTAACATGAGATGCATACGTGTGTGCAGCGTCTGACCGTAGACAGATCGAGGCGAGTCTTGATAATGCTTTGATCCCTGTAAAAATTCTAAAGACTTTCAAGCTAGACATTGTACGGTGTATACAGAATTGCGAGAGACATCCATGGGAGTGTCCTGATAAAGTTGATAGGGCGGGCTGAGCGACCTTTAGGTTTGTCTCTCGACGGTATTCAGGCGCGCTCAAATGTAGTCAGAGTAATCTTACGCTGACAAGTAAGCGCTTGGATGGTCGGATGGCTCCTCGCCGAGTAGAGTCATAGTTTACCTAGCGACTACTTTCCCGAGCGCAACCCGTTAAAGCACCAAGGGTCTGCACCGCTTTTCCATCACTTCAACAGTCTCTTGTTCACCACTACTAAAATTACCTGACGCATGACAACGATGTTGTTTCTACTACTCTACCTTCTGTTTGGATTTTCCGTTTGTGGAACCCCACTGGCTCCTGAAGGAGAACCGGACTTCAGCCTCTACTTTGACCGGAGCGAGATCGACCCTTACATGCGTAATGAGGATGGCGAGCATGCACTGCACCAAGCTGTAACGAGACGATTGGACGATCATTTCCGCACGGATGAGGCAGCTCACGCGCTGCATGTCCGCGGTCTGAATAATAAGCGTGCCAGCGCCAAGGTCACTGTCTATTACAGACCAAATTTGAACGACGTGTGCATAGAAAATGGGTTACGACGGGTGCATGCCGCCGCATACGTCAATGTATGCATCAATCCAAGGCAATTTAGTGTAATTTGCGACATCGATGAGGAACACGACGAGGCTCCTATAGTTTATGGTAACTGTAGTCCTGGCTACTTCTGCGTAACAGTCCTCAAGGATACGCTCACGGTTGTCGACCCGGCCAACCTCCATATTGGCCAAGCAGTAGAACCAATCTGCACACAAGAAGTTAAACTGGATATCTTTAAGATTACCGAAAGCCTTCTCGGTTTCGTTAGCGAATGGTGGCGTGCGCCCGGCAAATTCAAAGTCTTCTTCGGCCGAATGGCCCTTCAAGGGCAAACTTTGGGTACTGCCTATAATCTCAGATGGGATTGGAAGACTATCAATAGCAAATTTGGCACCCAAGCGGGATTTAAGCGTATTTCAGACACCAGCTCTGCCACGCACCATGAATACGAGATGTCTTACGACTATAACTACCGGGGCGATATGCAGTTTCGGGCAGCCGTCGACTGGAAGGAGCCCCTCGGGCATCTAGGTGTACTCACCCTCCTGGTCTATTTCGCAGCTATATCTCCTAAATGAAATGCCAGGAGTGCCGTAGGAAAGATGCAGCCTAACACGAGGCATAGCTTGCAACACTAGCACTGTACTGTGATGCTTCTTTCGCGAGCTAAGAGGTACATCACCCCGAATCTAAGCACACTAGTACGGAATATTTCCAGACAGTGAATCCAATCTAGAAAATGGTTCGAGGCCGTTGTTACTCAAAAGTGTCACTCAAGTCATTTTGCAATGTAATATGTACAGGCTAGCATACCATAAATCACGTCTAATACCTTGTTGTTTGTATGAGTAGCGACCTCCTGGGCTTTTGCTAGCCAATCACACCTTGATTTCAACACAGACTTCTATCTGCACTATGAATCGCTAAACCCATGCTCTTTTGCTTTTATCATCTAACTATTTTTGCGGGACTGGTGCTATCAAGGCGTTGTTTCGGCCTTGCATTTTGGCACTGATAAACTGGCTTCTGCTTCTATTCTAGTATTCTTTTTCGCGCGTCTTCATGTACCTGTGGGTACTATAGCTTTTGCTGCCTCATGCATAGTATATTTGCTCTTCCAACCACACTTCCCTTTCCCTTTAGCTTTAGCTCCTTACGCTACAGGCATCTAATGACTTTAGTATGGTAAGACTCAATACAAAAGCCTATAAGAATTGAGAAAAAATACAAAGCATCAATTATCCTACTTAGTATTTTTTTAATTGGTATAAAAAACTACTAGCTGACACTACGAAGTTGGCTAGGCTGATTGCAGTAACACTAGCAGGAATTTGTAAAACCCACCTATAGAATTTGATTCTGAAGATAAAGGAACTGCACAGATCGTCCAGAAGTATAAACAAATGTCATGACGTTGATTACCCCGCATTTCTCTTGTGCTTGGTTCGTCAGGCTCGTGCCGAGGCTTCTGTGGGGTCGAGTGGCGCCAGACCAGCCACCATGAAGCAACTCGACTTTGTTCCAACCCAACCTCATCACAACGCGTCTGGAAATCTCCTCCCCCGGCTTCCGTATTTAGCACGTCTCTCTCAACCATGGCCCTCGTGACTATCGCGCTCAAGGCAGATGGCTAAGCGATCGATGAGTTGGCGTTGTTCCGGTCGAGTTTGGAGCTCGTGACGTCGTTATCCTGGTAAGCCGGCTAATTACTCCAACCGTGCGCCCCCCTTTCGTGGGGTGTGGATGTGAGCGGTGCCGTCTTGGAATCCTCTTGGCCGAAAGCTTATTGTGTTCAAGAGAATGGTTGTGGACGCAAGGCAGTCTTGTTGCGAACATCGAGCAGTTGGACGTGTGCTTATGGCCCGAGATAGAGGACGCGTCGCAGCAGATTAGTCGTCAATCTAGCGCACATGCAGGGAATGATAGCATGATCAGGTAATCTTGATATCCCTACCATTTTGCTGGCAGACGGCAGAAGGCTGCCAATAATAGTCTATTACTACATGGGGTGTGCTCGCGAGCTACTGTCGCGTGGGGCTGCATGGGCTTGCCGCTGTCGTTCCACCCTTTCCTTCACCCTTTTTCTTTCTTTCTTTCCATACAGTATTGTACGCTGACTTCAAGTAGCAGTAATACCACCATCTCGGACAACCTTCCAGGCCGATCCCCCTATCTCTTGCTGAGAGAGGGGTCCTCCCGCGGACTGTTCACGGATCACACATCTGCACCACATCGATTTAGCCGGTTGCTTTCGGCGCCTTTATGATGACAGATTCATTGGCTGCCGTAGCGGCACATCAGCTCACCACGCAAATTGAGGTAGCTCCCGTTGCCCTGAGTCGCAGTCGACGCACTCGTTGGAGGAAATTTCACCTCCGTCTCGCCGTCTTGCCGGGGCCCCGGGCTTGTGCTGGTGGAGCCATATAAATCTACTACCCCAGATCTCTATCCCCAGACTACATCCAGCCCCCATTTTCACTTCTCCGCTCTCTATTTCCATCATCTCTTCTGGTGCCATGGCTTCAGCTGGTGAGAAGCCGGGCGTCCTCGACGTTGAGCGGGTATCCAATGCTTCCGCCGACGCCGCTGTTGCTTACGAGGAGGGAAAGGCCGCCGTCGATGGTGCAGTCGTCTGCACCGATGAAGACAACAAACGAATTGTTCGCAAGACCGACTTCTGGATGTTGTCGCTCCTCTGCATGGTCTACTTCCTCCAATCCGCCGACAAGGGCATCATTGGTTTGACGGCCGTCTACGGATTGAAGAAGGATGCAAAGCTTACGGGAAACGATTACTCAAACATTGGTAACATCGGTTACTACGCACAACTTGGCGTGCAGCCCTTGGCAGCATGGATCCTCGTCAAGCTTCGATACCGTCACGTCTTGCCAGTCATTATTGTATGCTGGGGCATTTCCGTCGCTGGTGGGCTCGGTGGCTCAACAAATTACGCTGGACTCATGGCATCTCGATTCTTCCTCGGTGCCTTCGAAGCAGCCGTCATCCCACTGTTCTCAATGATTACCATTGCCTTTTAAACGCGTGCCGAACAGCCTTTCCGCGTGGCCTGCTGGTACAGTTGCTATGGACTCAGTACCCTCATCAGCGCTCCTATCGTCTACGGATTTGGCCGAATCCACTCTCCCCATCTATACCGCTACCAGATTGTCTACCTCTTCTTCGGATGTCTGACCATCGCCATTGGCCTCATCACTTACTGGTGGGCTCACGACAGTCCTGGAGAGGCTCGGTTCTTGTCGCCCGAAGACCGCTTGAAGGCTGTCGAGCGAGTCAAGGCCAACCAACAGGGTATCAATTCGCACAAGTTCAACTGGAAGCATGTCACTGAGGCTATGACTGAGCCAAAGTACTGGCTGTATATGATCATGGTCATTGCCGTTAATGCCGGCGCCTCCGTCTCGTCCGTCTTCGGTTCCATTATCCTCCAGAACCTGGCTGGTTTCACCGCCGACGAAGCTGTCCTGCTCAACATGCCATTTGGAGCGCTTCAGTTCGTCTCCATTCTCCTCGCATCATGGCTGGCATACCGTTTCAAGCGCAAGTCTCCGTTCTTGCTTATACTCGTCACCATTGTCATTGTTGGTGTCGCGCTTCTGGTCGGTCTTCCAAAGACAAAGGACAACAAAGCGGGTCTCCTGGTCGGCTACTACTTGATTGCATTTGTCTTCGCCATCAACCCTCTGCTCATTTCCTGGATGGGAGCAAACTGTGCCGGACAGACCAAGAAGGCCATTTACTACACCTCGTTCAATGCCGGAAACTCGATTGGAAACATCATCACCCCCTACATCTTTGACAAGAAATTCGCTCCGCAATATGTAAGTATCACGCCCGGCTAAGCGAAAAGCAGGAGCATTAGGCTGACATATGCTTCTAGGTAAATGCCCTCAAAGGTATTCTGTCGATTTGGTGTGTTCTTTGGGGCGTCGTGATTGCACAGGTCTTCGTCATCATGTGGATGCAGAAGAAGAAGTGCGATGAGCGTGAGGCAGCTGGTCTTCCGAGAAACCCCATAGACTACTCGATGAGCGGACACCAGCAAGATGCCGACGCTGAGGTGCATGGCGAAAACGGTCTGCAGGATATGACGGATCGGGAAAATATCTACTTCCAGTACTTGCTGTAATCAAGGCTGCAGACTGTTAATCTACTTGAATCGAAACCCCTTTCTTCATGATGCTTTCGTTGCCCTGATATCTGGCCACCCATGTATGAATACGGGATGGGCCGGATCGGCATATTATCGCGGCTATTAAATTCAGGAACCCATGTACTCTATGTGCATTAGCTTGATGCTGGCGAGAAAAGCACGGTACGCCACCAGATTGCGCGAGGGCGCGCCAATTTGTGCTTATGTCAGCTTACAGTGACCGTGCGCCAGATGGTCATGGTCGCCAGTTGGACACCCCAACAACAATAATATAATCAAAAAGATGAGGCTGTACAGCCCCTACAAATCGTGATAAAATTACGCAAAGCTAGGATTATACTATATATAGGCCTACAAAAGTTTTAGCTTATTTAGATTTTTTTTAGAGGGCGTTATTGGTCGGTCTCGTTGACTACGCGGTACAATAGCTAGTGCACCCCTTGCGGCTTTTACTATAGCTAGAGCAACACTACCACGCTTTTAACGCTTTGTAGCTAGCTTATAAGGTTTTAAAGCTTTACGCTTACCCTTTTAGGGCAATTGTATAGCTTTTTTAGCGTCGCGGAGGCTTCTACGGCGCTCCTTTTTAGCTTGCTCTATAGCCCTCCACTTTCTGCTCTCCTCCTAACCCTTCTCCTGCTTAACACGCTTTATAGCTTTAATTTAAAGCTTATAATCGCAATTTGCCTTCTTAATCTTAGCTTGCTTAGCTTTTTAAAGCTTTTTAAGCTTAGCTTGTTATTATTGTGCCTTCTAACGATCGCAGGATCGTTGTACATGTTACAAGTAACAAGCAGAAGGATTCTTCCCTTGTTGGAATGGCGAGTGGTTGGAGAACCACTCAGGATGACACCAAAGGCACGACGACAACCCCGCGGTGATCACGTGACGTGTGCTCCCGCCAAGAGCCATGCT